CCGTCATCATGCGGCCGAGAAGAATACTTACAAGGTGCATGCGGCTGTCGACAAAAAGCTGGTGAGCATGCCCGTCAGCATGTTCAACAGGAGATCGGGACGTGATGAGCGCCACTTCACCCAGGTTGTGACTCTGCCAGCTTCCTGCTTGTGATATCTTCTTCGCGTGATCATCGCCACCGTACAGAATCTAAAGGATGGTTAGTCGCTTTCGACGCCGAAAAGGGAAAACCCCCAGCAGCGGGGCGTTGGGAAACCGCATCGACTACCTCATACAGTCCCATTAACCTCGACGCAACCAGAAAGGCATCCGAGCTCCTCTTTTCTGGTGATCGTAGTCCGATAGTCATTTCGCCTAGCGCTTGCGTGTAGGACCTCAAGCCCTCCCTCACCATCCACGGCTCGCCACCTTCACGACCGAGCGTCCCAAGACACATTGCGAGGAGTGCTTTCCTCAGCGCGCCGTCCGTGTGAAACAGATCGCGAGCGACAGCGGTCCAGCCGCCGATCGAGTATCCCGATGCATATGGTGTAAAGGCTTTGCCGCTGGGGAGGTACGCACGCCAGAAGAGATCAAGATACTTGACCTCGTACGCCGAGCGTGCGAGATCGGGGTGTAGCGAGACATCGTGGACGGGCGGAGACGCCCGTGAGACAGACAAGGTCTGGCCGGCCACCGGTCCGCTAGCGTTGATGAAGACCCGTTGACGTTCGTAGCCTGTACATTCAACGCGCGATTTGAGACACTGGCCGCAAACGGGTCGCTGTTGATCGCACTGCATGAGAATCAGTCAGCTGCGCCTTGGCGGGTGTAGGGACCCTCGAGGACGGCGATGGGGATGGGATGTCGCCCACAGGTCGGTTGGACGTGGGTTGCAAGACGAGTCAGACCAGGGAATGAGAGCCTTCTAGCGAGTGCCATAGCGTGTGCGCGTCTCCATACCGGACTTACACCTTTTTTTCGTCTGCGGCATGTATTGCATCCTTTGGACCTCCCAGGGACGCCGACCATGATGAGCGTCTGCGATTCGGCGCTCGGGGCGTTCGAGAGATCAGCTTTGGCGCTGTTTGGGGCTTCGTTCAGGCGCCCGACGACAACTGCCGAAGGCCAGAATGTGACAGCCGTCTTTGACGTGCCGTGAATAATGTGTGGTTGCCTAACGGAATTCCAAGAAGACGTCTCGCCCTCGCAGCACCAGGGAGTGGGCTGTGTCACCGCTTGAACCTCACGGCCTGTCAAGCCAACGTGTGAGGCCTTAACACTGGGAAGGACAGCTGGAAAATTGCTGCCCGCGGTGACGTTAACGAGGATGTGATCGACGTCCTAGCACACTGAAGGAACGGTTTGGCAGTGATCCGAGACAATCTCTGCATGCAAGACTCGTGGCATAAAAGGGATTGTTGTATAACGAGTGATGAGGTCTATGACGTGCCCGTCCTCTTGTTCAAGAACGTGTCCAACGACGATGTTGATGGCTGCGGGGGAAAGCGTAAAGGAACGGGCCTTGGCATTGTGGCAGTGTCTGCTAGGCTCAATTTGGAGTGACGTCTGGGAATGTGACGGGCATCACAAGCCACAGCGCGCGCCAACGGAAAGCTATATGATGGAGAGGCGCCAGTGCAAGACTTGGGACGGAAGGATTGTATCCCATGCACGAGTGCCTCTTAGATCAACTGCCGGTAGCATGAGGAGGAGGGAGGTGTTAACGTCCTGACAATGCGATGGTTGTTCAGCAGTAACTGTCAGTGAACAAATCAGCAGCTGCAGCATTTGCCTCATCTCCCTGAGAGTCGATTGACTGCCCTTTCCAAGTCACGGGCCCACTTCCTCTCGGAGCACCCGCAACGACCAATAGTGCCAAGCGCCGACCGACCGGCAAAGCGAGGTGGCCTTCGTGGCCAATCCCGGACCACAGTCCGGCCTCGTCGGTGCCTGCGATAGGCGAAACGGAGCAATACATCCGTGGTACCAATGGATTCATGACGGCATATGCTCACAAGGACCTACAAATGAAGCTGGGGCAAAGCTGATGGGCAGAACCGCAATCACAGGAATGTAACTACCTACCTTGCCTTAGCGTGGTGGACTGATATGCTACGCCAGAACCGGCACGCGAGCATGAAGATAGCGTGTCTGAAGAAGACGCGGTCCAGGTTCGATGAATAAAACGAGATGTAGCCAGCCACGCCAGAGCTTGTTCTGAGACATGCGCAATAAACGGATGAAAACGGCCATGTCACGAAGTGAAGGAATCAGGAGTTCATGACACTCGTCCCGGACCCCCATCAGGAACAGGACTCTAGATTTCGCCACCACGTGTGAGACACTCTGACACGGCGGGCACTAAAGACCGTCAAACTCGTTACCATTTCACGCCGTTGAGACGCGTGCATGGCAAAAAATTGGGAAAGGTAGTCCCACTCAGAATGGTACCTCGTGGCGGCCAACAATCAGATGTAGGGAATTACTCTCGCGTATCACGACACAGAGTGTCTTCTGAGAACTGAAGCAAAAGATATCTGAGGACAGACATGAATTATATCGTTACACGAGCTCTGGCGCGACGAATTGGGTTCAGGTTAGATACACTTGTGTCGCTTCGGTGAACCTCATCAGTACATGGTAAGCTGTCAATCCAGGCCGAATTAGAGTATGATTCTTTGTCATTCCTGGATCAGTAAAGTACTGATGACTACTGTTTTGATCAAGGAAAATATCATCATAAGCTTCGAGCCGGTCTGTAAGCGTCCTGCCTCATCGTCATTGAGTTACCCACTTTGTCATTTCCAACCACTTCGACGTATGCGATGAGATCAATACACAACGTCAGCTGGGTCATTGAAACTGCAACTCGTCGAAACGTCTTACTGAATGGAGCACATTTGGGTTCAGGATCGACAAAGTGATGCTGTGGCTTCGGAGTCACAGATCCCATGGTGCTCGTGAAGTTGAAGGATGATCCAGATGGCTCGGGAAGGTCACCGCCCCGCGCGTCATTATTTTAACTCGTTCGCTCTAGACAATAGCATGGTTGAGAAGGTGGTGAGGAAACGCCTCCATGCAAACGCCGCTCCAGTTGCTGTTCAGGGTCCCCGCAATCCGTTTGCAGGAATGTGATTCAGCCGCCACGAGTCCGCATCCCACTCCGCTCTAGGGTCCTAGACATCACGAAACGTGCCTGACAGAATCCCTCACATACTCGATGGCTTATATATTGACACAGCATCTCGTCGGAAGAATGTCCTGTTCCTCAGCAACCCAACAGACTTTCTCCTTTCCTACCCTACATACTTCACACTTGCAGACTATCGTACATACAATTCCACAGCATCAAAACCATCAAGGTGCAGATCACCATGTTTCTGTTGACCCTGGCAGCCGGCCTCCAGGGCTGTAACGCAGCAGCCGTTGACACCCGCCAGACAGATATTACGACACGGCCCGAGTGGGTGTCGGACAGCCAGTTCAACGCTGCCATTCTCACAACACACAACCTATACCGTCGCCAACACCAAGGCGCCCCTCTGAAATGGGGCGTCGACCTCAAATGGGACGCCACTTTGGCCACTGCTGCTAAGAAATATCTCGACAGCAAGGGCACAGGCAAGAACCAGTGCCCTCCCTTCGCCCACTCCGGCGGCCAATACGGAGAGAACCTGGCCATTGGGTACGGAACACCTACAGCAGCTGCCAAAGCTTGGGGCGATGAGCGTGCAAAGTACGACTTCCAAAAGGCTGTCTTCTCCTCAGCCACCGGGCATTTCACCCAGATGGTCTGGAGAGATACCCAAAAGGTCGGGTGCGCCAGGAAGTACTGCACCAGCGGCGCGAGTATCAAAGGCTGGTACCTCGCTTGCGAATACTTCCCTCGCGGCAATATCATAGGTCGCTTCAAGGATGGCGTCAAGATTGGCACCTACAAGCCACCCAAGAAGACGTAGTGGTTCACCGTTCGGAACGTCATGCGCGACCTCCGCAACGTGTCTGAGAGGAACTTGTATTATAGTTGTGTGATTCACCTGCCAATGTTGGAGCTTGGGCTAAGCCGCAGCTGATATGGGGGCGCCGGACTTGAGTTGGTGGACAAGTTGACATTCGCTTAGAAAACCTTGTTTAGCAGCAATGCGGGTTTTACCGACGGAAAGCCTAGTTCAATTTCTAGCAAGGGCCAACGTGATTCAGGAGTAATATGGACTACTTGATCTAAAAGATTGCGAGGAGGGATGATCAGAAAACTTTCAAATTCCGTGACGACAGGGATGGCAATGATCAGCCTGAATGAGGAACTACTAATACGGCTGCGGCAGCATCGTACCTGTGAGTCTAGTTAGTCGTGTGTTTCTAATTGCCAGTTCAGCTTTCCCTCGTTCTTCACAGGAAAAGTGACTAGGCTAACTGGACGGCTTTGCACGATTGTAGAAACTATAGTCCTCGTGCGAATCGTTCTAGGGGCGCTCGTACTACACCTGGACAGATGGCTTTGAGGGGAACAACACCTTCAGTGCGAGACTAGTCTCTTTCTTGAAGCTGAGGCAAGGTCTTCAAGGAGAAGTCGAGAGGTGGTTCGGGCGACGCCGCGTAACTTGTGAAAAATGGTGCTGAAGGCCTCCAGCGGTGGCGCGTTGACGGAGAGCTCGGCGAGTGAGTTTGCGCGCATAGCAATCGAAAAAACTTTCAAGGGAGATTCTTCTCCGTGTCTGCATTTGGCCCGGAGAGCATATAGCCACTTCACCACTGCCGATTATGTCAGAGACGACTTTCCCTGGAAACATGAATCTTTGTCGAGCTACTTTGCTCCC